CGAGATCTGGGAGAGGGGAGAGAGGGGAACGAAAATATATGTATATATACAATTTTCTCTCGCTTTATACAAACACAAACACATTTTATACATTTGTGTTTGTATAAAAAGCGAGAGAGGCGAGCGAGACTGCCAGCGAGAACGAGAGTGGCGAGCAAGATTCCACCAGGGAGAGAGGCGAAATAGGAACAGTTTGCTATGAGATACAATTAATTAATAGTTTGTTATTATATACAATTTTCCCAACAATTAATTAGATTAAATTTTTGAGGCTCTGTATTTCACATTGCATCGAATCGAGTGTATCATAAGAAAATCAAATATTTAATAATCACTTGAACATTCTAAAGGAATGTCTTGAAATCTATTGGTATCTTTGCAATAATCATAAATCATATTTTTGCTTCTAATATCTTTATATGATTTTTCTTGATTATGAGTTAATTTCTTAGAATTCCACCACAACTTTGTTGAATTGCAATTCAAACTATGACTATTAGAAGGGCAACCTTCAATGTTGAAGCCTTGGAATTGAGCTATGAATGGAGAATTTGACCAATTAATTTTTTCACTTCCATTTTCTGTTGCCCAACTTTCTCCATTCCATATTGTGGCTTCTGATTGCATTGGTTGTGTAGGGTATCCAATTCCTCTATGGGATTTGTTATTGTAAACTCTAATTGGTATTTCATCTACAAAAAAACTTTAAATAAACAAATCAATTAGACAATAAATATTAAATAGTAAATGTAAAGATTGTATCGTCATCGAGAGGTACATAAGGATGGTTGGGATACATTCACTTTTAATTATAAAGCCTTGGTTTCATCAATCTTAAGAATGGAAAACTTTTTGCTATAGAAGAAATTTACGTCTTACTCTACTCCTACACAAACACAATGTCAAGGAATGAAAAAATCTGAATAACCAAACCGAGTGATACGATAAGTACAAAATGCTAAGAAATGTGGAAATTATATTACTTTCCTTAATGGGCCTACCCGATGAGGATCCAAATTAACTAGACTAGTAAGCTTTGGATACTGAATGATTAAATTGAAAGAGCATGTCGGTTGATCTAACTTCACACGAAACACTATGAAATAACTTGTTACATCTAGATTAATCTATTTTTTTTAAATTTTGGAAAGGAACATTACTATGTAGTTATTATCAAAGCGTCAATTAGAGGTTTGAAGTTCGAGTAAGAGTGTTTTACTTCTAAAATTGGACTTTTTGGCACAAATTCGAATCAATAAAATCATAAAGTGGATATCAGATACTGGATGGATACAAAAAAGAAAAATGAACTTACACAATGTGATTTGAATTCCATAGGATTGAGTACTCATGAAAGTTTGTTGTTGGATCAAACCAAAGTTGAATTCTTTCTTCTCTATCACCAATACCATTTGCAAATACATTTGTTTGCAATATGTATGATTTCCCTTTTCTATTACCTAAAAACTCGAAATCCAATTCATCATGGTGGCTTGTATGTGAATGTAGCTACCAAAAGATTAAAATAAAATAAAAATTAAAAAAGAAGATAAACAATACAACTTATAAAATAAAATTGAGTAACTTAAAATTAAATTAGAATTTCCACACTATAATGAATTTTTATAGTTTTGAATGTAATGAATTATTTAATAACTATTACATCCGAGCAAAATCGGCTTGGCTATATGTATCCTCATTGTCCATGTTAATCCAACATTTTAAAAAAAAAAGAAGAGAGTTTATCTAGTACTAGAAGGAAGAGGAGTCTTGAAGCAATGGTACAGTTGTCTTCGTGTGACCTTAGGCCACGAGATTGAATCGTAAAAGTAACCACAATAATTGTATTAGGTTGATTGTCTCTCTATATCACACCCTCTAGAATATGATCCTTTCTCAAATCCTACATGAACGCAATATTTTTTTCACCAAACTCCCTCCTTTCAAGAGATGAATATTTGTAAAACTTATGGTAAAAAACTAAATTATTTTAACTCTTAAGAAGTGAGAAATTGAATGATATATGTGTTCTTACATAAAAGGTTGTCACTACTCCAGCTGAGTCTTTGTTTGGTAGCTTTATTCTCATTTTGAATGATCCAGAGCCATAACTTTGTTTGGACTGAATTCCACATCCTGCAGATTATTATTTATTTTTTAAAAAAAATCATTTGGTATTTAGGATTCTAAGAAAACAAAAACTTAAAATCGAAAAAAGAGAAAGGAAGAAAAGTCAAATTATCCTCGTACTATTTGAAATTGAGCAACTTTTCCATCCGTTAAACTTTTAGTTTTATTTTTACCCTATCGTAAGGAAAAAACTCTCATTTTTTTCCTTTTACCCCTACTAGAGCTTCAAGTTGATAGTCATTTTAAATCATTAAATATCGACATAAAGAATTTAGACACGTGGAATCCAAACATTTCACTCTAGAGCAACATTAATAGCAAGGGCAAATACAAGATAATATGTGAACAACAAGAGAAGGAATAGACCAAAAACTCTAAGCTAAGGCACAATTGAACAATTTCTCATAGTAAAGGGACAAAATTTGACGCATCACCCTATTTAAAAATGACATAACGTATAGGTATACGTCTTATTCTGGCCTCAACTGACAACTAAACGCTTCAACTTCTTAACTCGTTTTCAATATGTCAGTTGAACACTCCGTCAAATCAAATGATCATCTAGATACCTCCAAGAATTATGTGTCATATCAACACCGGATGTCCATGCACGAGACATAGTAAGAACGAGTTGAGGTGTCTAGATGTGCATTTTCAAAATTGAAGTGTAAAAGCACTAAAAGAAAGAAAGAAGAAAACTACAAAGGTAAGATCACCAGAAAATTTATCAAGGGATAGCTGAATTTCTTCTCCATTTTTCAATGACTTCACATTGTTGTTCCCCCAAGAAATGTTGTATTTTTTATCAAATGGTAAAGCTAGACCTTCAAAAACTCCAGTTAATAATAAAAGAGCACATAGACTTATTAGATGGAAACCCATTCAGTAATTTAACAAAATTGCAGTGAGACTTAGTTTCTTGTAGTTGGGTTGAATTAATAGATGAAGAGTTTTAAAGTAACTTAAATTGAGTAATTAGATCAATAAATATTCTTAAGTGAAGTAACTGAAATTTTATAGGTATGATAGTAAAGTTTTATACTAAAGTAACTGAACTTTAACAATAAATTTACTGAACTTTACCTACTATAACAAAAAAATAACTAGTATTTTTTGTCATTAAGGTAACTGAAATTTACCTTTATAACCAGGGGCAGAACCAGAATGGTGCAAGGGGTTCGGTCAAAAATTGTATAGCATATCTAATGCTAAAATGATTTTTTTTATATCTATATAGTAGATGTTGAATCCTCTAACTTCTTCGTGTGTTGACTTCTTTATAGTTTGAACCCCTTTAACGAAAAATCTGTTTCTACCTCTGTTTTATAACAAAAAAATTATTAAACTGCACTCACTATAGTAACTTTACTGTTAAAAGTAGCAAAAAGACTTTACGGTTATAAGAACAACAACATACCAAGTGTAATATCACAAGTGGCGTTTAGAGGTATTATGTATATATGCAGATCTTAGCCCTATTTTTATGGGGTAGATAAACGATTTCTGATAGACCCCTCAGCTCAATAAAGAAAAAAGTTTTCAAAGCAGGATTGCAAGTTACATGAAAAGTGTTCCTTGATGAATACAACTGATCTAAATTTGTAATTTAATTTGCTTACTTCAGCCTTCAGGTCTGAAGGGAGTTTTGGAGTAACGGTAAAGTTATCTCTGTGTGACCTATAAGTCACTAGTTCGAGCCATGGGATGCTTTGTCCACCATGCTTCCATTTCAGCCTTCAACCTGAACTTTAGCTCTCATTTTCTTCTCAAGCTTGGTGCGCTCAACAACTTCCTGGATATGCCGATCATGCTCCCTGAGCACTCGATCCACATCCATTGAGTTCGATTCAACAGGTAACCGAGCATAAAAATCACTCTTCTTTCCCTTGAAATCACGATCATTTTGATTTGATGCAGTAATCAATAAACCATACTGCTGTTTTTTACCCTTGATATCATGGCCATTAACTCTCTTCGAGGCAGCAGTTGACGGAACATGATTTTGCTTCTTCTTTCCCTTTATAAAACTCCAGAAGTTGTGTTCCTGATCCTCCTTGCCTTTATCTCTATTAGCTCCTTCAGAAGAATTTGCTGATTCGGGCATTTTGTATCTTCGTCTTTCATCTATTGTTACCCAGGGTGCAATCTCTAAAGCATCCATGGTAAAATCATACTTCTCATCCATCCAGTTAATTTCGTCGAAAATGGTTGAACACACCTTAGAATTCTTCCATTTTACATCCAATCCTTTAGTTGGAGGGTATTTAGGCAAACTAAACGAATCAGAAGCAAATGGTTCAACTTTGAAAAAACTGTGATCCATAGCAATAACAGCAGTCCCTCTGCACTGTGGTTCTACAGAAAGCAGAATTTGCATAAGTTCCAGAGCAGCAACAGGAAAATCATGAAATGTTTCTTCGATTTTCGTGTTGTAAGGTACTTTCTGTTTCAAAATTGCTGCATCAGACGAATTGTATTTTCGCCAATATTCATCAGAAGGAGATCCACATAGCTTGAATATCTTATGCAACTGATCAATTTCGTTATTACCTTGCAAAATTCCTTTGCCATTAAACAATTCTCCGAGTACACAACCAATACTCCATAGATCCACTTCGATTCCATAAAAACACGATCCAATTAACAGTTCTGGTGCTCGATACCAGAGAGTCCCAATGCAGCTAGTCAAAGGGACATTAAGCTTGGATTTGGAAAGTGTAGACAGGCCAAAGTCTGCAATTTTCAGGATACCGCGATTATCAAGTAATAGATTTGATGTGGTTATGTCTCGATGAAGGATACCTCGACTATGGACATGATTAATTCCATTTAGAAGTTGTTTCATATAACATTTGATCTGTGATTCGGAGAAAAATACTCCGGGGATTGATAGAAGTTCTTTGAGATCATGTTCCATATACTCGAAAATAAGATATAAAAAACCAAATATAATACCTGATGTGATGATCAACCCTTCCAATTTGATAACATTTTCGTGATCCAGCCTTCGTAAAATGTTGATTTCCTTCATCATTAATTCTACATTGTCAAACTTCAATCGTTTCAGAGCAACTATTTTGTTGTGTTCGAGGTCACGAGCCTTGTAAACAGTACTGTAAGCTCCGTAACCAATCTTATCAAGCATGTGGAACGATTCAAGTTTTCTGGGAAGCCATCCATGGATAGCTTCAGTGCCCGTTGCAACAAGCCAAGCAGGCCATCCTGCTGCAATCTGTTCATCAGCCATTGCATTCGGGATACTTTTGCTGATTCTAGGTACATTTTGTTTCTCATGTGTTGATCCAATTGCTATAGAATCGTTCGATTTCACATAGTAAATTGACATAACTTAGAAGTTCAAATTCTGGATCCGACTGTTTTGTTTCATCAAAGATATCATCAGCTCATGAAGTTGAGAAAATCCTTTGGTTGATGAAGAAGTTGTTCTATAATCAACATCATGTTTGAACTCTAGCTACGGATTCGATACAACTCAATTGCTTTGATTTTTGATTTTCATTTAATATGTATAAATTAAGTTATTCAGAAGGTAGTAAATTACCTTTTCTAGAATCCAGAGTCGATAAACTCAAAATTTTGGATGCGGCCACAAAAGGAAAACCATACATCCTATATCAGTATCTTGTAGCATCGGTTTTATACATCATTTTTGCTATTTTGATGATTTCAACGCACTAAAAGAAAACTTATTTTCTTAAAAAATTAAAATGTAAGAGAGAGAGAGAGAGCATAGACTAGGCTAACAAAAAGTCAAAAACTTTAGAAATAAAAATCATGAAGGATTTTACTAATATTTGTTGACTAACCGATAATTACTTTAGACAGGCACTAAACATATAAATAATTATTTTGAAAAAAAAAAACATTTTGTTATTTGATATATTATATATAGTCATAATCAAAGAAAAGTGTACAAACATTTATAAATTCTAAGTTGACATTGACACGATCAATGATCTATAATTCATGATATATAATTTTCCCTTTTTGTTACAAAAAATAAGTTGAAAATTTTAAGTTTAGGAATTCTAAATTCTAAATAAGCAGTTTACTGCAATCTAGATAAACTATGTATTCATATTAAGTGGATTTCTTATAACAAATACATGATTTTTGACAAGAGTTATTCGTTCTACCGAACTTAGCTAGAAGTGTAGCTCCGTCCCTTGCTATCGTTTATTTTCATCCTATATACTAATTCAATTTTCATAAAAAATAAAAATAAATCATATTCTCTTTCTTAAAAAAGTACATTCTAAAATGAGTAACTTCCTTAATCAATTACACATCAAAATTTGAAAATAAAAAATGGGTGTTGATACTGGAGATTACTCACTCTCCCCACCCTTTACTTCTGTGTGTGTATGCCCAAAAATTATCATAAATTAAGAAATTTATATCAAGTTTCTTCATAGAATAAAATGTATGCCTCAGAGCGAAGAACATCCTTTAATGAGACCTCACGAACATGAGTGTCACTTGCATAATACCACACAAAATCTTCCGCGTTCTCGTCTTTCCCTGTGATCTTGGGACCTCCTCTAACATATGCAACATAATGACCTCCCCTCATCGTCCCCGAATGTACTACTACACCAATAAGCTGGTATTTGTATGTATCCTTCTGCAGACACCTGCAAAGGTGATCATCAAGTAATCATCAGGCTATTTCAGCAGAGATATTCCATTTTGCAGAAACTTAATAGAAAAAATGACATATTGCATGTGCATTGAACATATGGTTATTTTATCGACAAATCTTTGAAATCACTAACATACTATGGAGAGCATAATAACTTGTTCCCAACCAAACGACCCCCAACTCTCTAGAATGCATCTCCACAGTACAAGCTTTTGGTTGACACCCTCGCTATCATAAACAACTAGCATACACCCTGGACCTCATCTTGTATTGTGTATTAAAAAGATTAAAAAAAAAAAAGTTTCTAAGGGCATTTGCAGTTACTGAAACAACTTGCTGCTGAGGAATATCAAGTACAAGTGGATTATATAAGAGAAAAAGCTCGGGAACCATAGCTGTATTTTCTCTCTTTTTGTGGTAAAACATGTCGGAAACAAGAACATGAATTCAATCATATTTTTCATAAAAAGCAAGGGTGGTAAGTTATGTTACACGGATACACACGCACAAAGTATTACTTCCTCCATCCCATTTTATTTGATGTTACTCGAGTGAGCATAGAGTTCAAGAAAGGAACACTTTTGAAACTTGTGGGTATTAATCATCTCATTAAGGTAAAATGAGAAGTTTAAAGTTAGATTATTTCTAAATAGGATGTTTTCATTCTACACTTGTATACTGTCTGTGAACGATATGTAAAAGGTACATAGTTTGTTATAAATTTCTTGTGCTGAAGTTCTCAAACATGCAGGATGTTCAAAGATATATTAAATGAATGTCAAAGTAACATCGAATGTAAGAGTGTAATAGCATCAATGACAAGTTCTGTCTCAAAAGATTCCATGACTTCACTATCGTGGACTCCAAAGTTTTTGGCCGTTATTTGTTGAACTTTTGCATAAAATATGAATCAAAATAATAGAATCAGTCTAATGAACAAGGGATACACAAAAGTCCAGAAATAATTAAATGCCCAAAATGAAGGAGAATCAACAAACCTGGTGTCAACATATGGCTTCAGATCAACTGCATCTCTAAAATTGACATGGCAACTCAGCTTACTCAAGCGCCCCCGAGCATCTTGACGGAACCTCTTTAGATGAATTGACAAAATAGGAGGGACCTTATCAATTAGGATCCGTTTAGTTGCATCTCTTTCAACTCTAACTCTTTTAAAGTCTGTCTCCTCATTCTCACTTTCTTCAGATTCAGATATAGCAGAAATCAGCGGAGCTTCCAGCAGTTGAACTTTATTGGTCTGATAGTCTCTATTCACTTGACTGCTAATTTCACTGTGATTTTCCTGTGTGCTGTTTTCCGATAGCCAAGACACTGAATCTCGATCAACTCGAGGGCTGGTTCCCTTTGGGGACAATAATCTGTCCTCAAAAGTTTCTAACGCATCTTTGTCTGTACTTCCATTATGAGTTCTCAGTTCAGGCGGAGGAGATGTTCCTGAAGAAGACACACCATTTGGATTTTTGTCGTCATGTCCATTCACCATGCTATGTGATCTAGGCTTCGTCAATTTATTCTTAGATCTCATTCTCTTTTCTTTTAAAACTTTTGTGCAATTTTCACATTGCCAAGCATGTTCACTTTTGGAAAGAAGCTCGGGCTTTGTAAAATAAGCCAGACAACTCTTCACTGATACAGGAGCATCTGTATTATCAAGCTCTTCCGGATCAGACACGCTGATGTTTGAAACAGTAAAACTAGCTTCTCTCAGTCCATTGGCCTGAGAAACAGCAGCATTGCACAAAGACCGTGCATCAGACTCAGGTTCACTAAATAAGTCTCCAACACCATCCAAGTCCAATGAATCTTCTTCCCAACCAACAGTAGCTGAGGATACCTCAGAACCTTCTTTTAACATGTCGCCAGCAGTTGAGGTTACTTCTTTGTATGGAAGTAACAGAATCTCTGACTCTTGTAGTTGTAACGGGGCATCATCTTCCGATAGCCTCGTACATGAATCTGTTCCAAGATTTGAATCCACAGAGCTGATCTTTCCAGACTCTTTAACCAGTAACCTTTTACTGAATTCAGAAGCTATATCGCAGTCTTGTGATTTGGATTGTACTTGGTCATCCAAACACATTAAATCATTAGGAGAACGAGTGCTGTCTGTACATGTCAACTTCATCTCTGTATCAGCATCAAGATTATTTTGCAAAGGGTCAACAGGTTGAACAGATCCAGTTTCAGAACCCTGATTAGTCAGGATGTGATCAACTTCTGAAGCTGCGTCATCACCATTTGGCAGTGTATCCTGTTCGAGAAAATCTAACCATGTCGAGTTATCCACCGTAGCCAACTGCCTAGTCACACCCTCGCAAGTTTCCTCATTACGGGACTTCTGAGTGAAACATGAGTCCTGTGAAGTTAAACCCGTATTATCAGCCATAACACCAGCATCAATGGATTCTAGCGATGTATCAGAAGGAAGTATCATTCCCTCAGTGACAGGTACTTTAGGATACACATGGCTGAGAGGTTTCTCTCCATTTCGTTGAGAATTGAGAGAAGCTGCATCTCTGCTAACTTTAGGAAGAACTTTTCCACTTCTCTTTGGAGGTTTTGATATTTTGGCATGGGAGACTGATTGAGCTCCTTTAGAAGGAGGTTTTTTAGTCGGAACAGGCAATGAGAGATCCAAGAATGGCTCATAGACTACTGAAGTGTGCCCACATTCAAGACAGCTAACAGTGCTAGAGAGTCTACCACCAAAGATTTCATCGACAAATGTTGGACATGAACTCAGGGATTTACGGCCATCCTGAGAAGATTTGATTTGCTTTCTGCAGGTCAATTCCTCAGTACACAGACGATCAAGTAAACAACGAAGCAATTCGTGACTGTCCTGCTGTTGGTATCCTCGAAACTGTGGAGCTTTGGTACATAATGAACCAAACAAAGATTTTGGATTAACAGATTCTTTCAATGAAGCCTCATTGCTTGTATCAGTAAAGAGCTTCTTCAGATCAGCGGTAAGAGGACCAGCAAAACCATCAAACTTAAGAAAGTAATCCCGTAGTCTATTCATTGCCAGTAGGTTCTGCATTATTGAATTGAAAAAACATGTGTTCCCTAAATTAACCAATCCCCTAATGGCACAACCACATTTTCCATCAGCACTTATAGAAGCAGAAGCTTCTGATTTAATTTCGCTAGTGACACTCCCACTCCTGAACCAAACAGCTTCCACATCAGTAGTAGGTCCTTCAGACGGACGCCTTTTAATCATCTTTGCAATGTCCTCAAGTACATCTTTTTGTTCACTGCCATCCTCTACTTTTTTAGCATGAAGTAGTGTGTTGCACAGAAAACACCAGCGCAGTTGAGGATTTTCAAACTGTACAGCGAGAGGGTGATGGTATTGTCTCGCATGCCGAACTGCATGGCTCTGAGGTGTAGTAGGCAACCCAACACCTCCGCACGAGAAATGACCGCATACTAAACAGACCCAAATGGCTTTAGACTTCTGCTTGGGATCTGCACTTCCCTTCTTTTTTCCTTGTTTACCTTTTGTCCTACTAGCTTGTCTATCAGCTACTCCTTCCTTGCAATCTTCGCACCTAACAGGTTTCGAAGACTTAAGTTTAGCGGAGACTTTGTCCACATCAATAACCTTATCAACATGTGGACATCCTTTTCTATCATTTACAACAGAAACTGCATCATCATGAGTTTCAATATTCGGACTGATCTTTTCATCAATACGATTT